ACCTTCCCCTCCACCCCCCTCCCCCACCCCTACCTTTTTTTTTTTACTTTACGAGTTTCAAGGGGAGTTCACGCTAAAACAAAATGCTCAAAGTGCTAGCCTACAAAATGTGAGCAGACCTTTTCGATACGCATTGTATGTTAGTAACAGGCAGGATGACCCGGAAATGGCGCTACACTTGGCGTGCCTAAGCCGGAAGTGAGCACGCTGTGCCCATTTCGAGAGCGTTTCGCCTGAACATGATTCCACAATTTCTCGCTTAAACTCTTGCTTTTAACTGAAGCAAATTTCTCTTCGGCTTGAACAGGTTTTTAAATCCCACCACACTAGAATATTTTACAGCGCAGTAAAAGACCTCCCTCCTGCTCGGGATTAGTCTACAGCAGTCCCTCGGCATACAAGCAGGGATTTTGACAAGGAGGGGGAGGGGGGATTCCCTTGTGATATCGATTAGTATTGATTGTATGATTGATGAGGGTTGTATTTAATAATCATTGCTGGTGTAATTCAGCCCGTTGACCTATAATCTATAACAAAAGGAACATTGTTTGGAAATGATTCGATCATTCCAAGAGAGCTTTTATACTTCACTATTGCTTTGATTTGAAAAGGAGGCTATCAATATTTTTTGTGAGTGGTTTGGGGGGGGGGGGGGGAAAGGGGGGGGGGGGGGGGAGGAAAGCGGGGGTGGATCAAATGGGTAAGAGTAAATGGGTAGTGAAGGGTGGGGGGACTTTTGTTTATAAACTTTCCAGACACCAGAAGGAAATCAATCCCAAATGGCAAATTTAATATGAGGATTTGAGCGTAGATGAGTGATGTTTACATCAAAAGATCCTCTTTGACATCTCAACCTCCATTTGTTTTTCACCTATGCACAATCAACTGGACTAATGAATAAGCTTTCGAGAGGGTGAATCACTTTCAGTTTCTGCTGTCATGTGATACTTTTTCCTTCACTTCTTTACAGGTCCAGTTTCCATGTGTACTGTAATTTCTGTTACCATAGTCGCTCAATGTGTGTGTGTGTGTGTGTGTGTGTGTGTGTGTGTGTGT